TTGCAGTTAAATTCCGCATAGAGGAAACTTCTCACCACCAGAGCAGTGTGTGGTCGTGTACCGCTATGTTGTAACCAAAGTCTGGTGCCAACTTCAGTTGCAGTGTTCCTAGATAAGCGGTCGAATAACAATGGCAATTTTAATCACTTCTTATTCACCCTCGGTATGTCGGCACTCCGTCAGACAAATGACTGAAGCTTTTGGTGCTGGTGGTTAATGCGACGCACCTCTAAAGAATCTGGCCATAGCTGTCGGATGTGAACGGTGCGCGCGTGAGAACCGGGCTGGCTTTATGTCGATCATATCTTTCTTTGTCAAATTTTAGAACGCAGACACTCCTTTCGTAGACCCATCATCTCTGGATCTGAACGCGGCTTTCTACTCAGTCGACCGCTCTAAACTCTGGCGCTGCCTCGCTCTAAAGGGTGCCCGAGAAGTTAATTTCAATATTACAATCCTTTTATACTCATAGTCGAAGTCGAGTCCCAGGTCACAGTACTTTTTCACCCGACTTCACCACGGAAAATGGTGTTCTTCGGGGTTGCCCTCTCTCTCTCCCTTCCTGTTTAACTTTGTTATAGATCTGATTATGGAAACAGCCCTATCATCGTGCGAGGATAGTGGCATCGATTTACTCCCAGGTGGCAGGCTGTCTGATCTGGAGTACGCAGACGACATTGTGCTACTAAGTGAAGATCCATGTAAGTTGCAAACATTTCTGGATAAGTTGAATGCTAGTGTAGCCACATTCGGTATGCGTTTTGTACCTTCAAAGTGTAAAATGCTACTTCAAGACTGGGTCGGTCCAGTACCCAGGCTAACTTTAACTGGGAAATTAATAGAGCAAATGAATAATTTTTGTTATCTGGGCAGCTACATCTCACCCGGTGGAAGCATCACGGATGCAGTTTCACCTCGCATACAGAAGGCCCGTTTGGCATTTGCTAACTTGAGACATTTGTGGCGCCGTCACGACATCCGGCTCTCTGTTAAGGGTGGAGTGTGTGCTGCAGCAGTTCGACCAGTTCTACTATATGGAGCAGAAACTTGGCCATTAAGAAAACAGGATAAAGATACACCGTCGATGTTTGAACATCGCTATCTACGCAGCATTGCACGAATCTGTTGGGGCAGCCGGACGAGCAATGCTGAGGTCAGGCGCAAGTTTATAGACAACCGCCGTCGCCCACTGGAGCAAGTGGTAGACCTCCATAGATTACGTATGTTAGGGTATGTGTTGCATACGTCATCAGATAGGTTGCCAGTAAGCGATGTTTGCCGAGGCAGGTTGTGGATGGAAGAAAGCCAAGGGTGGTCAAGCTAAGACCTGGCATGAGGGTATGAAAACCCTAACCACGAGTTTGGGTCCCATAGGTCCTGTTAGGGGCTCCCTGGCTGAGTGATATGGCTAGGTGTCGCAAACAGTGGTGTTCGTGCATCTTCTCAATTTCTCTGCTTCAGTAGTCCACTGAACTTTTCAATTCTCTCTTCGATCCTACTTTCAATCTTCCTGTTTTCCTCCTATTGTTCACCCAAATGGCCAGTCAAAAGACAGCAACCAAAAGCGTCCCACGAAAATGCATGCCTNTGCCTAATGGTTGTTTAAAATGAAAACCCGAAACTGTCGCAACTAACAGCGGGAAATCAACTCATCCTAATGGGTAACATTAGGAACCTTGGTCTTCCCGCACTTGTTTGGACAGTGTCAACATAATCCGCATAATAATTACGAAACGACGACAAAAAGGAGGCGTAAAAATGTTTATTATAATGGAAATAATCATAAATCTTCCAGCTGGATGACTTTCGGGTACATATTCGTGACGTGTCTCGCAAGATTTATCATTGACATTGACATCAAGCCGGAAGGGTCACTCATAAGTATTACACTGTACTGCTCACGCATCTTTTGTCTCACTCCCTGTTTGAACATACTTCATGCACCTTAAATTGGGTTCAGCGCAGGGCGAAGGGGGACCAAGGTCAATTCTGGAAATTTCCAATGACCTTTTTTACCGTGCAACTTGTCACGCTGTGTTGCGTCATCAAGACATGACTAAGGTCACGTTTTGATATTTTGACATCTTAAATTGGAAAAAGGTTTAGTTCTTTCTCTCACGCCAAATTTTCTCTCATACACTAAGAATGTGGTTCTGATTAGAATTAATGCTTGTGGGAATGGGTTCGCTCATCAACAAAACACCGTGAAATATATTTTGATTGTAGTAAATTGATTTCGTCGATCGCTTCATACAATAAAATATTCGCGCTGTATTCGTGGCATTCAAACTGTGACCGAGGGATTCCCGGTATTCTTTTTCAACCATTGTTTTTATCATCACCGTTCATAGTTGTTTCCTCTTTGGAAATCCGAACGACCTGTGTGCCACACTAAGTTCTGCAGACTGCTGGTCATCGAAATCAGTTGGAAAATTTCTTTTCATCCATGACTTTTCCGTCTATTTTTGAACGCACCCATCCACTTTGCGGTGTCCTTTCTGTGTCCTTATCAGTGCTCACTCACTCTACACAAGTAAGTAAGTAAGTAAGTAAGTAGTAAGTAAGAGAAGCAAGCTCGGTAGATATTAAACTTGGGCGGGTTGAAGTAGCGTGGCAACGGTAGAAGTGTTTCTTCCCAGGAATAAGCTGGGCTTTGTGAGGGTCGTCGCGTTTTTCTCTGTTGGTTATCAATCACCTTGTTCGAAAAGAGAAGCCAGTCATGGCAACATTGCACGATTTACGCCCTGAACTATTTCCTGCATCTCCACTGGTGCCGACAACAGACAAATGTTTATGCATGGGATTTGAGAATGGATTACCAACCAAACACTTGTAAATGGGGAAGCGTTATTAAGGCAAAGCCAAAGTGATGAACAAGTCTTTTTGTTGTTGACACAGAATTGATTTCCATCGCCTTATTAAAATCGCCTCGACGATCTTGAGCATTCTGGTGTTATCATTGGTAAAAATCACTCTAAATACCTTCTCGCGATCCACGAGGTGTTGCGCCATCAATAAAGGCTTGGCAATCGATGAGCTTGGTAGTTTGTAAGCACGATCCCTACCGGTGATATAACTAATCTAACCGTTACGATGGGTTATCAACCGGATTTACTACGCAGCTAAACCCAGGATTGTTCACAGGAGATAGAGCATATCCGTCCCCCGGTTAAAGAACGCCCACCCATGTACAAAGATTCAAATATAATCTATCAATTCCAGTGTGGTTGCAGAGGGTTTTACATTGGCGAAACAGAAAGGCTATTACGTATTCAAGTTTTAGAACACTTTCCGAACTGGGTTCAGCGCAAGGTTGCCATGTCAAAGCCCACACAGCCGGAAACCGGTAAGGACTGTGCTTACAAACCACCAAGCCTTTGTCCGTTGTAGGCACTAGTGGAGATGCAGCGAAATCGTCCAGGACGGAAGTCGTGCAATGTCGTCGTTATTGGCTTCTCTCTTCAGTTTGTTCACGGGAAAAGGTTGTTTCAGTTTCTTTCAATCACCTCTTTCGTCTATTTTGCCACTCGACCCTATCCGCGTTCTTATATGCACCATGTAGAGTTATTCCCGACATATTCACAACCCGTCCGAGTGAAGGCAATTTACGAAAAATAACCATAAGAAGTGTCCCTGATAACGGAGGTGGTTTGATAGTTTCTGTTCATTGAATTGACCATCACTCAATTAGCGTGCAGAGAAGCAGTTGCGACCAAGCAAAGGCTGTCGGCGAAATTCCAAATTGGGGTATCCGTGGCCGGATCCGAACGCTGCACTCTCGGGTCAGTTTGATGCGGATCTGATAGGTGAGTACAAACAGGAAACTTTATTGAGGTCAATCCGATTGTGTACAAGAATTCTGATACCCTCGGTTTACACAGAGCTGCATGCTACCAGGCGCGTCCCCGGGTTGTGGATAGGGGGACACCTACTTCACCGAAGAAGGTTAACTGTGAATAAGTTGTGGCATACCGCAACAAATAAGCAGTCGCGAGCAAACAGCGGCGGCACTACCACGGTGTGGTAGGTTTCAGACTGATTCCTTGGCTCCTGTTTAAAAGCCGCATAAGTCCAACGACGGTGTCGTGACAAAGGTCGATGTGATTGACCTTTTAAAACTAAAGTCAAGGAACCCCTAACTTTGAGATGAGGAATTACTTCGTGCTGCTTTGCAGTTCGTGCATGATTGTGCGAAGGCTAGAGGTGTGCCCTCGAAGTAAAAAGAACGCCGAACTTCATGATCCTGATCGCCATCATATCTGGAGTCGGCTTATCCTTTCCTAGGAGCCAGCTGCAGAAAAGTAAAAAAAATTCTGATGGGAGCGCGCATAAGGAACATCCTCTGTGTAGTTTTTTTTTGCTTATACAACTTGATTTATCACGCATTTCTCCTTTCATACATCCAGTTCCCTTTAGGAATTTCATAAGAGCGGGAACAAGCATCGTCACAGGACAGGTTGAATTCAATTGTTTCACGTTATCTCTTCAGCTATGTACAAATATTCATATGAAAGTTCGATCAGGACAGCGACACACTTGGTGGTGCTTAAGTCACCAACTAGTGACCTGGGTGTCCCGGGTTCAAATCGCTTCACCGCCGCCCGTCTTCCCTCTATCTGTACTTTCCCCGAGCAGCCTTTTTATGGCCGCAGACCCCTTCCTGACCGTTGACTGTACATTTGTATATTCAGTATATAAAAAAGGAAGTAAAACGATATTTTTTAAAAATCGTTAAACATCAAAAACACTCCACTACACAAAATCAGTGCGAAGGGCAAAGGTCATCTGTCACAGTCAGCTTGGACAGAGTGCTAGGGTGGGAGAACGTGGTAGGGCTATCACTTTTTCATTGTTTTATGCATCTTTATCATGCTTTTTAATATTTCTGTCTCGTTTTTTGCTTTGATTAGAAATCCACTGATGAAGTGTTTTTGGAGTCATAAGAATAGGGTGGCTTCGTCTTAGACTTCCGGATAGTATTTACGGATGTGAATTTCACTTCAATTTACCCTTTGTACAACCACTAACCATGCACTATCGTGCCCCGGGTTTGGTTGCTGTCTTTTGACAGCCCATTTGGATGAAGCATTAGGAGAAAGACAGGAAGGTTGCAAAGAAATTGGAAGATGCACGAACTCCACAGTTTGCGACACTCAGCCAGATCACTCATTGTATCTAACAATCGGTTACGATCATCCCGAGGTCCCCATCCAGGAAGCCTAACGCAACCTTTATGACCTGGTCTCCTGGTTGGGGATTTCACACCCTCATGCCAGATCTTAGCTTGACCACCCTTGGCTTTCTTCCATCCACTACCTGCCTCGGCGAACATCGCTTGATGTTGCAGCCTAGTTTGTGACACGCATAACACATGATGTGAGTTTAAGCTTCCTCAATCCATTTAACATAAATCAAGATTTTTTCGTCCGAATAGAGTAGTGCACCATTAACCCTAGTCCCATCCATCAACAAATTTCGTTTCAGGAGTCGGTCAATGATAAAAAATCTGGTTTCTTCTCAGAAAGCCTCGCACAATCGTCGGAACCAGATCGTTCACGTCGGGGCCACATAGCCTTTCTGCATTTGGATGCGGCGGATCATGTTGGCCATTCGTTCAAACCCTCCTCCGACGAGTATCGAGAAATGGTACGCCATTTGGACACCCTTATCGCCCGTGTGGTTCAGGCTGTCAATCAGTCCGCGGGGTCAAATCGGGTGGCATTCGTGTTCACCGCTGATCACGGCATGACCGAG